TAATGTCTCCTAGATCTTGATATTATAATTTAAAAAATGTATAACTGATATTGTGTAACAGAAAGTAAAGGTGTAAAGGAGCAGGGGAAGTGGGAGGGGTAGGGGAATGAAAAAAAGGGAAAAGAAAAAATATGAGAAAAGGAAGAAAATGGAAACAAAGTCTTCGCAAATAGGGAAGGGTGGAGGGGGTGAAGGGAGGGCAAGGGAAGGGGTAAAAAGAGAACCAAGAGACTCATGTAATGATACAAGATCCCAATGATGAATGTAACTGTATTTTATACCAAAAATGTACCAATAAACTTAATGGGAAAAATAAATAAATAAATAAATGACATTGCACAAAGCGTGACCCCGACTGACTTCAGTAAGTGCTATGTAAGGGCTTGTTGTTATCCCCGGACCTCTCTGCCCATGTCTTCTCCTTTTCTGTAGTACATTTCTCCATCACATGCCTCTTACCTCCAGGGGCCCCCAGGTTCTATCCTCAGCCTTCTCTTTCACAGTACTCACTTCATGGATTCATTAGCCTTCCAAATATTACAAATTATCCTCTGCTCTTGCCTCTTCATACATTATCTATGGCTAGGAACTCTCACCCCCAGTCACTGTCATGTCAAATATAACACACCCATTATGAAGCTCAGCTTCCCCTCTGAAAGGGATCCTCTTCCCCTCACCCATTGTTATGCCATCACCCTGAGTCTCCAGTCTCCGAATCACTCCTCCCAGTTCTCCCAACATTTGATTTATTTCCTAGCCCTCCTGTTCTTTGTTTGACTTCTCTCTGATTCACCCCACACTGCGTTCCCACTACCACCACCATCCAGGCCACCTCTGCTGGGATAAACCACACCGCTTCAGAGCAGACGTCTCCAACTTCCCATCATTCAGCTTACACTCTTTCATCTTTACCATGGGACAAAAGCATATGCGTACAACCATTCTGCTTTTCACTTTTAGGATAATAATCAATAAATTCAATGAGATAGTCACCATTTTACTGTAAAATAGGCTCTGTATTGAGTGCTTGGCCCCATGTGGGCTCATGGAAATGCTCTGAGCGTGTTTGAGGTAGGCTAGATGAACGATGGTGGTTGGAAGGGTAGGAATATTAAGTGTATTTTCAACCTATGATATTTTCAACTTACCAAGGGGTTATCAGGATGTAACACCTTGTAAGTCGAAGAGCATCTGTATGAGAATGAGAGGCAGTCCCGATAAGAGGCGGCCTGGGCTTGACTCCTGGGCAGTACATTCAGCATCCTGTTGGTTCCCGGCACTGAGGGACACCCCACTCCCCAGTCCTGAGATCAGGACCACTACACACACACACACACACTTCCAAACAACCTCTGCTTGGGGTGGGGAGCTTACTGAGAATTATGCATTCATCCAAATCAAATCCACCCAGACACCCAGTTTGCACAGTTTCTCAAACACAGATTACTCAAACTTCTGCCCGAACCCCTCCCTCTTTCTCTCCTTCCTGCCTGCCTCCTTTATTGCCTCTCATTTCCTTTCTCACCCCTCCCAGCTCAGACTCTCTTCCAGCCATTCCATTCCTGGCCTGGGCTCTCTGCTCCTCCTAATGGACACTCCCCACCCTGCTGTGCAGCCTCCAGGCCTGCTTTGGCCTTTTCCACCTGCCCATTGTGCCCCCAGCCTGCCTTAAGCACATCATCACAGTTCTACCAAGTTTTCTGTTTCTTTGTGTCACCTTGTCCTCTAAACTGGACCCTCAACTTGTTGAGGACAGTGGCTGCTCTTGTCTCTAACCCACAGGACTTGAGGCAATAAAAAGTAGCAAACCCCTAGGGTGATGCCACTTTGTCAGTTTCAAAGTTCTTGACCAGAACCTAACCCCTTGCCTCATGCTCACTGCCAGCCCGGGATGAGGGCCCTCAGAAAGACTGTAACAGACAGAACAGGACCAGAGCCTGGGGACACTTCTGCCCCTGCCCAGCTTTTGATTAGTAGGAAGAAAGGGAGGACAGGTCCAAGCAGGTGACAAGCTGATCACCTGAGAGATGACCCCATCTTTGACACACTGAATTGTTGGCATACTAGAGGTCAGTGATGAAACTGACCTGCCTGCATGTGTCTGTCTGCATCCAGCCCTGCCATCGGCTCACACTCAGCACAGAAGCGCCCTGTGGTAAAGCCAGGGGCCACTGCCAGTGTCTTTACCTTCTTCTACTTGGTGGAGGTCAGTGCTGTCTTTTAAGTCTTCATCCATCCAGGGCCGAGCTTGGAGCTCCCCTTTCTTTTTCTCTGGGCTTCTATCAGCAGCTTTAAAGATCCACACAATCAAAATGCAGACAAGTGCCACCAGGACTGGAGTCAGGAAAAACATGGTTGGGAGGGAGTCTGCTTTTACTCAGAGGAATCCCACTTCCCACAGTAGCATTTAAGCAGAAACCAGGGCAGGGAATGCTGGGAGTGGAGGGGTAGGGAGGTGCACAGGAAAGGAGCAAAGTCCAGAGCTCTCAAAAGAGCAAAGATCACAGTCATGTGCGTGCATGATGATGTATGGGGGTTTGGTCAGGCACTAGCACACTCACTTTTTAAAATCGTGTACTCAAAATATTCTTAGGCAGTAATCCGAAGGGGCTGTGTGAGGGGCTGTATGCTCTAGCTCTCTCTAGCAACAGTAAAAGGCATTTCATTTCCTGGAGTGCCTTCAACTTCAGAGTTGTCTAATGAACCTGATTTTACAAGAAAAAGGGGATAGTCTTGGGGGAATCAACTCAGATGTTGTGGAAGAAAATTTACAGGAAAGAGGCCTGGCAATATGCATTTTAAATGGTGTGTGTGAGAGGCATTGTTCTTGAAGTTGTGATTTTTAAAACAATGCCCTTGCCAATATATGGGGCAAGGAAGTATCATGTTTTACATTAGAGAAAAACTTAGACCCAGAAAAAAATGATATGGAAAAATGATAATGATTAATTATATAACAGTAAGTTTTTTGTTTTGTTTTGCTATATTGTATTAGCAAATATCTTAGTTTGGGCCACCATAACCAAATTGCTATAGACTGGATCAGTTAAATAGCAAAGCTGTGTTCCTTACAGTTGTGGAGGTTAAGAAACTCATAATCAAGGTGCCAGATGAGTCAGTTCTTCTTGGCTTGCCTATGGTGCCTTCTCTGTGTAACCTCACATGGGTGAGAGGGGAAGCTGACATTGTCTAAGTGCTAACTCATGCCTCACAATAACCCTATGCAGTAGATTCTATTATTATCCCAATTTTTTCACATGAAGAAAGTGAGGTAGAAGTAGGTGAAATAACATGCCTAAAGCCAGCATTAGATAAATGGGCCAGAAGTAGCCCTTGTGTATCTGCCTAAAGAGTCCATGTTGTTTCCTCCTGCCAAGCAAACTAGAGCACTTAGCCCACGGCTGATGAGAAGATGGAAACTGGGCTCTTTTGTAGATATAGAAGGTCCTGGTATCCAGCTTCCCAGGGCTCATGCTCCATTTAGGAGATGTACGGAAAAGAGGTTTAAAAATATTCCCAGCACAGAGAAGACGGGCTTGGCAGCGGTCACCAGTGAGAGAATGACAGGAGTGGAAAGTGGAGCAGAGCCTAAGTCGTTCACAGCGACTGCCACAGGGAGAGGCCTGTGCTCCTTCTGTCCCAGAGCACCTGCAGGACTCGGTAAAGAGAAATTTTCCCTAGGCACTTGTTCTTGGGTTTCCTCAAGATGATTCCCCTTTTGCTGTGGATTCCTGCAGCACATGCCTGCACAAGGCCTGGTGATGTCCACACCTCCACACCCAACACCATCCCTACAGGCAGGCCTCCCACTGGTGACTATATCAAGATGGCAAGATGCTTCATAGTCCCCTCTGAGAGCTGCCATAGAGGCTTCTGATGCTGCCATGAGGTCAGATATGTTTTGCTTGAGAACCAGAGCTCATGCCTGAGGTCCAGGAGGTGCCATCTTGCTGAACTATGGAAGGCCCAAATGTGCCTCTGTACTCCGGGGAGTTCTGAGGCATCTTGGCCTACTTGTTTTCCTAATGCTTCTTCCCCACGAAGTTAGAAAAAGGAAATGAGTGTCGAGGGCAGATGAGCAGAGATGGTATGAGACAGCTTTGCACCATGTGTTATCATTGTTTCTCATTCCTCACTTCAGATTGATTTCATTTTAATCATTTTGGGACTGGGAGCCTGCCTGCAGACCACATGAGCAGTAGCATTTTAGAAGACGCACTTCTACAAACACATGCAGTTTTAACGTTCAGTACTGATGTTAAATCCAATCATCTCAGTGTCCATTTTCCTTCTTGTTTCCTAACATCTTGATGTGGATTTGCAGGAGAAGCCAAAGGAGTTTGAAAGAGAATTTCCTAGGAGAGAAACTTGTTGGGCATCAAGTGAGCTGACTCAATTCTAATGTTTCACACAAGCATTTACCATGCTGTTTGTTATGTGTTCGTACCAAGGGCTCATCAGCAAGTGCTATGCCAAGTCTTCAAGCAAAAGTCTTGAAATAAACCTGTGTTATACTCTCAGATCTTGGTTGAGTTGTGAAGTTGGAAAACCACAAGGAATTTATAAGTGCTTTTAAATTTAATTGGCTTCAGCTATATTCAACCTACACTTACTACCATCAAACCTCTGAAAGGTCTTTACTGCCTACCTACCTACCCAGGGGATTATGTGTTACCACATCTATCATGTGTTACTGGGTGCCAGACCTGAGTCGTTGCTTTCTCTACATTATCCCACTGAGTCCACAGGATGAGCCACCCACTCTCCTGGAGGAAAGAGAAAATAAAGAGCTATATACCGTGACAGCCTTAGTGAATGAGTCAGAGCAGGGCTCTTCTAAGCCTGGCCCTGGGCCTGCATCATCAGCATTTCCTCGGGCTTGTTAGAGATCCTTAACCCAGGCCTACAGAATCAGCCCCCCCCCCCCCGGAGGCCCAGCAAAGGGCTTCACCATTCTGCTGCTGGCTAAAATTTGAGACCCATCGGGCTATAGGAAAGACTTTTTCCTCACATCCCCTACTTCACCCCAAATTCAGATTCTCCAAATCTAAACTCCTGTACTATCCAGAGGGGCAAAGTATTCCAAACATCAAATGTTTATTGAAACATTTTCCTGCATGTTTTCTCAACAATACATAGTACCTTGAAGATAATAAACTCCCAGTAAGTATGAGTTCAAAATTTTAAGACTGGAAATGATGTTTAAAATTATGTTAAAATTAATCTGGCTACCATCAGGTGCTAACAAAAGCTGTGGTCAGGATAATGAGTCCACGATTGCTTGCAGCAGTTTAGGTGAGAACTAATAGGTGTCTTATCTTGGAAGAAAGTTGTAGAACTGGACAGAGAGGTTGTTTGCATACAGTGGGGAGGTGAAACAAAGTGATACTGTTCAGCCATAGGGTATTACAAAGTAGGAATCAAGTTTATATCCCTCTAGTACCACTAGAAACAAAGGAGCTGAGTTATTCCCTTCTATTTATTTTATTTTATTTTTTTATTAAATTCTTTTATTGGTACATTGTAGGTATACAACACAATTACATTTCTCATTGGGAACTGTACCTTTATATAATGCATCTTGGTTCTTATTTTTTCCCCATTCCTAGCCCTCCCTTCA